ACACACACACTACTACACACACACACACACACACACACACACACACACACACACACACACACACACACAATCAAACATACACTTGCAAATCATTTTTCTTGTGAATACGGATAGGCGCGGGTCACCCTAACAAATCCACGCTGTGACTATACCGCATGTGACGAGCTCAGTCTCAATGAACAGACTTTTGTCGGAAACAAGCAGGTACACCCAATCTTGTTTGTTTGGTCAGCAGTGGTTGTATCGGTCTCAGCTTATCTGTTGTATCATCACTTCACAGTGTACTTGTACTCCAGGGGTCGAATATCGCTGCCGTAGACGACGAAGGAGTCACCGCTCTTCATCTAGCGGCAGATTCAGGTAAGTTGCTCTGGGTTTCCGATGTGGGAGTTTATTCTTTGGGTTGTGTATGTATGCAGAGTGTACCGATTGATGAATTCCGCACTTAATTTCACTTCCTGCTTTTAAACGATCGTACGAAGCGATGGGATCGGTGTACGTCTAAAACGTATCTCAATTACCTACCGATGTCGGAGCAATGACTGCTATCATAGAGTGAGACATGGGCACCCAACGGATGGTAGCTATTCTCGTCAGTCAGGCACAAACCCTGGACGAATTTCGAATTTTAAATTGTGAAACTTGTATTGATGATTTAATCCACAAGTGTAAAAACATATTCACGTGACCTTGCCTATGTACTACTGCGCAGGAAATGCGGGTGTGGTGGGATTTCTAATGTCGACTTCGAGCGAGTTGGATATAAACAACACCAACGAGGTTTGTGCAGCAGGCAATCAGCAGTAGAACGTATAAGAAAACATACACATGTATGCATATGCATGTGAAATAAGAAAACATACACATGTATGCATATGCATGTGAAATAAGAAAACATACACACGTATGCATATGCACGTGAAATAAGAAAACATACACATGTATGCATATGCATGTGCAATTGAGCATGAAGTGAGACTATGAATACAGTGAGTGTGGTTATGATTCCGAATGTCATTGTGTTATTCTAGAACAGTTTATAGGATTGAATTGAGATCTGAAAGGAATGAAGGTAGTGTTATTTGCAAAAATGAACCGATCATCAAACTGTGACGAGAGGGTAGCGGTTGTAATTATGCAATCTGCGTCCGCTAGCAGGTAGGTCTAAACATATGAATATGCTCACAAAACATCCAGTATAGTAGAAGTTTTGTTTTTCTATAAAACGAACTTGCATACACGTGTTAGTCTATTAGTTCATCTACATCCAAAAGAACCGCCACACATTTGCATCCGCTCAGCCTGAAAGTAAACCCCTGCAACACCCACTTGGGCAATGACAACCCCGGGATATACTTCCGTATGGTCTCATAGCGTCCAGTGCATGTGATCATCGCCAACTCTATTGCACCAGAAGCTTCATATCAGTTGTGAAATATACACGCATACATACATACACACACACAGATATATATACCTGAACACGTAGCGCTACATTGGCGCAAGTTTGTACTGAGCCACACATCATTTCTCTAGCATGCTCGTAAGCGACGCCTTTACCTTCCGCTGCTGCCAACGGATACTTGAAGGTGGTTGCAACACTGAATTGTAGTATGCAATTTACGTGCTAACAACAGCCTTCAATCAAAGGGCTATCTGGCCCATCAGACGGACATACACATCCATACGTTACATCCCATATCCCCACGTACTCACTGTAGTATATCGGCACTACAACGAGCCGCAAGCAAATTCCCATCGAGTATGTCACACAAGTCCACAGCACACATTTTCTATACACTATTTATCGTATCAGTATACTCCAGTACAGACACGCACCCAAATCTGCTATACCACGCAGGCCGGATGGACTCCACTACACTATGCGGCTGCTAACGGGCACCTGGAGGTCGTTGCAGCACTGACGCGCAGTGACATCTGCGACATCAAGCTAAGAAACGCCGAGCACCTGAGTGCACGCGACTTAGCCGTACAAGAGGGGCACACCTGTGTTGTAGAGTATCTGGATTCAATGGTAAGGAGTGTGAGTGTGTGTGAGTGAGTGTGTGTGTGTGAGTGAGTGTGTGTGTGTGTGTGTAGTGTGTAGTGTGTGTGTGTGTGTGTGTGTGTGTGTGTGTGTGTGTGTGTGTGTGTGTGTGTGTGTGTGTGTGTGTGTGTGTGTGTGTGTGTGTGTGTGTGTGTGTGTGTGTGTGTGTGTGTGTGTGTGTGTGTGTGTGTGTGTGTGTGTGTGTGTGTGTG